AAAAAGATGCATACGCTTAGAAGTTAGAAATATCACTTTCGTTGACTCATTTAATTTGCACAAATAATGCACTTATGGCATCATTAAAATATAGTCATTTTACTTTTAAATGTAATTAGTGAACAACACTTACTTTAACAACAATATATCAATCTAATCAAATCAAATGTCATCTTGTTAGATGCTAAAAAAATTATTCATATAATTATTATAAATTTTCCTGTATATATTTGGCAAAAATTTTGCAAAGTTACCTGATAAGAAGAAGTAGCACCACCAAAGAGAAAGCCTTCCGGGAAGTCATGGCGGGTAAGGTCTTTGCCGTAGTTGTACGGCACGGGGTCGCCGGGAGCCCACTTTTCGACATTGGTCGCCATTTGGAAATGAAGTTGATATTATTATCTGTTAAAGAGGAAGCTAAAGAGTTTTGGATAATTGGCGACTCTTTAACATTGGAAACCACTTATTTATAGGCCAATTGTCAATGGAGTGTATGAAATTTCTATTCACTTTCGTCCCCACGGCAGCTAATTAATTGAACATACGTGGAAAGATTATTTATTTTTCAATTTCAAGTGGTCCAACTAGTAAGGATATAAGAGAAAAATCTTATATCGATATCGCTGGAAAAGTTAAGTGGAAAATTAACCCAAAAATAAAAATACTCCGGAGTTATTTGTACCTTGATGTTAATTTATCCATTTTTAACTACACATAAATAATATCGCACCATAAGAAATCAGTCCATCCCAGAGAATATAACTTTTTACTATTGAGTACTGTTCAAATAAACGTGTTAAAAACTCGACGTGAATTGGTTTAAAAAATCGGATGGAACTGGCTAGTCCAATAAATTGAACCGTGAACCGGACAGTTCAACGGTCCAGTTTGTTGGAACGGACCGGCTGCGTGTGAGTTGGTTAAAAAGTGGTCAATATCCGGTTGAGCCGATCAAAATTGGGAGAAATCGACAAAAAATCAGTTGATTCAGCTGGTAAATTCGACCACTCAGTTTTTACTTTTGAAGAGCAAATAGATTCAGACACATTTATAAAGCACATCACTTTATTATCTTAGCCGATGTAGGATAAGCATGTAGCAAACCTTGTTGAGCCGTGCATGGAGTGTCGTGCCGATAAATTTTATGTTTCCTTATTTTTTTTCCTATTAGTTTAAATCTAGGTAATTAAACCATCTCACAACATTTATTATGTTAATATATATGACTATGAATTTTGATTATAATCATATAAATAGTTCATTAGTACTATAATTATTATCTTTGGTAATTATTCTAATTTTTACACATTGATCAAACCAAAGACTAGTCCGACTATTCTTTAAAAATTAAGTTAACTATATTTATAAAATTTTATATATTTAAAAAAATTAATAAATTAAATAACGGTCGAACCAGCGAACCATTTTAACAATAATTTGACCGGTTGAATGACAGCTTGGATTTAAGAACATTGTTATTTAGTGCGTGCATGGGTAGAATCCGAATTTGGGGTAAACAAAGTGGCAAAGTGGTCCACAATTGGACTTGATGTTCTCATTTCCCAAGTGCCTACTTAATTTGTGTCAGCGTGGATCACACCGTGAACGTGATGGTCATCAGTCTACTTTGGATTCTTATATGCATTTTATTAACCCTCCTATTTTTAATAAATATTGTTTTGAGAAGTTGTACAATAATTAAGAATATTTTTTTTTTCAATAATAACCCCCATTAATGAAGATAGAGATTGATGTTTTGAGAAAAGATGGAGAGTGAATATAAAAAAAAAAAAATACTCCCTCCTTTTTAAATTAGATGTCGTTTTGATTTTTTTGATTCATCCATTTAGCAATGTCTAGATACGTAGCAAAATGGATGAATCAAAAAAGTCAAAACGACATCTAATTTAAAAAAGAGGGAGTAATTCATATGGTGATGCGCTAAAAACGTGAAAGTTCAGATAGGAAAAAGTTATTAACCCTGGAAAGAAATATCTTGGTGACTATCATGATTCGTTATATACGACACATACCAAGTCACGTGAGAAAGCACGTGTTATCTGGAGCTGAATTCATCATGAGTGGTGTATGGCGTGGATGTGACTGTGCCGTGCACGTGGGTATGAAATCGTGTTTTATTGTGTAACGTTTTTATTGGCTTCATTTTCATTGATTAAAGGCTGTCTCCTAGCCACTGGTGACTATCACGCATTCACATAGGGTTCCTCCACACTTGGATTATATGCCAATTGACTTACTTCAGACAATTGTTATCATCAATTATTGAAACTAGCATAAATTTTTTGTATCATATCATATATATGTAACATGACTCACATTTTTTTTATTTATATCATTTCTGGAAATCTTTATTTAATGCATTATTATTTTGACTTGAAAAAAGGCATAATATATAAAAAGAAAACAACACCTTTTGTTAAAAGCCTCTATCTATTTTCACACTGAAATTCGTTAATGTTGAAATGATAAGTGGGACTTTGTATTAAATTTAAGTAAAGTTAAAAGAGATAAAAATAAAATATCAGTGTAAGTAATAAAGTTAAGCTTAATGCATAAAAAGAAAAGTTTATGTTTTTATCTCTTAATTTACTTGTAAATGTAGGGAATAGAAATGCAGAGGATTCAAGTCTGGATATTAATTAGGCGAAAAAAAAATTATCAACCCTTGAATTTATATATGAAACATCTTAACTTTGGCCCTAATTCAATATTTAGAATGGTTTTTCCCATCTCACATTGTATTTGTTGACCAACTGGCACATTTCAATGATATATCTGGACGAAAAATATTTTGTGATAAAATCCATTTATAATGTTATAATGTTGGAAAATTCCAATAAAGTTGGAAAAGAGGGCATGATTAAAAAAAAAATCCAGTTAATCAATTTGCAGTGGAACTACAACACCAACTTTATCAGCTTGTTATGCGGATTTAAATATAATTAAACATTATAGTCTAAAATCAAATACAATCTATCATTTTTCTATCAGACTCTCTGTTGGAATCTTTTAATATTAAAATACTAATTATTGATTTTTCCTATGAAAAGAAGTTCAAATTGAGCTTATGTTGGATTATTATACATTACTACCAAAGTTTTCAAATTGAGCAAGTTGTTTGAAAGCTGCTGTTAATGAGGTTCAATAATTTAAACAATGAGATCCGGCTCGTAATTCAAGTGGTTCTAGTTACACATTAATTAATAATATCAATCATTAATTTAAACTAGAGATCTTTCAGTATATTTTATGAGTGTTTTGAGACCTCGGCGGGTCGGCCTGGGACCCGGTCGACCCGGAGCCGGAACCGGCCCGGGTGGAGTATTTGGACCGGGCTACCAAGGACCCGGTCAAAACCCCGCCGACCTGGCAGAGACCCTGCCGACCCGGGGCGTTGACTCGGTCGGGTCAACCTAATTGACCCGGTCCATATATATTTAGTATATTTTTTTTTATTTTTTAAAAATAAAAATATGTATATATGTTTATATGGTAAATATTTATCATGAAATACATATTATTAACACTTTAATATACAAATTTTATACACAAAACATTTAATTTGTTACTTTTATGTATATTTATATAACAAAAATACTCTATATATAATTTTAAAAAATTTTAAATTAATTATCCGGTTCAGCAATTGACCCGGTGACCCGACGGTTAAATCGGTGACCCAATGACCCGAGGACCTGCCCGGGTCGATCACCAGGCCGGGTTTAAAAACTATGTATTTTATACTCCTCTTTTCATTTTCTGATTTTAACTTATTGATGGATGGAAAGAATACAATATTTTGTGCGACGACAGTTTAATTATTAGATGGATTATAATTTAATAAAAATATATATTTATATTATTAAATATTATATTTTTAAAGTATATATTATTGCCTAATAATTAGGCCTGCAGTACCACTTTACAAATATTGGGATAAGCAAGTTGTGAATTGAATAACGCATGTGAGCTGTATGGTTAATAAAGAAATTTAAATAATGCGAATCTTTTGTATGGGTCGTACAATGACCTAACTTCACATTGGAGCGACGTGATAGGAAGATGGACATAAAATAATGTTGCCTTTTGCAGGAGGTAGTAAAAAGATGGAAATAGTAGATATTAAATAATCTTCTATTATATATATAATAGGTGGTCCGCGTATTATTTGGCTGAACCCGGACAAAATCATAGCTGGCCTCGTGCATTGCTCCCACATTTATTTTACGGATATATAAAGGTCTCATAATAGAGAATGTTAATTTTATTTTATGTGCAAGTAAATAGCTAAATTTAGATCAAGTTGCAACTTTCACTGTAATTTCAAGTCAAACATAAATGTTCAGTATTATCAATCTAAGCCGCGACTTTAAAAATTGAGGCAGAGAACAAGATTGCAGTGACAGGCTAGTCATCTTTTTTTTTTTTTCCCAAAACGATAGAGATGTTATATTAATAAAACCGCACAAAGTGCGAAAAGAAAGCAGCCAAAGGCTGAATAGTACAACCTGAAACTAAAAACTGGGAGGCAAATCCGAAGATTGCCTAGAACCGTCTAGTAACGCTAGAATAACAAACTCGCAACTACACTAACAACAAACAAAAACTACCACAACTAAAAACTAAAAAAGACCCCAACAGAGTAATACCCGAGTGTCGGATCCCAACAGGATAATAAGGTGACACTCGGGTTCAAACGGGTACACAGAGGCCAACGGCCCAGACCAAAACACAATCCTAAAAAACAGAATAAACAAAACACAGACCAAACAAACTAATACATAAACCTAAACATAAAGGAGAACACAGCCTCCCCCGCCAGGTACGACTAGATTTACGGCAGACAAACCAATTCCAAAGACAGCGCCAAAACACGGAAACGACCGCCCGCCACTGCAGAAGGCCTAGCAAGGCGGGTACCCGCACCCCAGTACCGACTAGTGAGTTGGCCTGCACTCCAATCACGTGAATAAGCCAAACACGGCTCGGCTTCACCGAGTCAGCCCTCCTGAAAAGACGACCACACACCCCGACCCGAATCGACTGAACACAACCGGCAGCCGAGCACTAACCGGAAACATCATCCTTGTCCCAGCTGTAACGACGACCCCCAACCGTGAACCTCGAATCCAGCACGCCAAGTAGAACCAGAAGAGTCCCTCCGATCAAGGACAAAAAATGAAACCGAGACAAAAGCAGCAATAGCCAGAGCGAACCTTCAATTGACGTCACCAGAAGTCGAATTAGAAGATGCCTCTGCCAATCGCCGCCTCGCCGGCGAAAAATCCCGGATCCTGACTGGCGGCGAGAAGGGCAAGCAGGGCGTTGAAGCCGCATCCTAACGAAAGCCGAAAACAGTGGACCCAGCCTCGTCCATGAACCAGCACCACCCTCGACCATTGCCGACTACACCTGGACTCCGGCGACCAGCAACAAAAGAGGAGCGCCTCCGATGCCCGACACACAACCCAGGACGGAGCTACAACAGATGGAACGATGGCGGCACCCCCATGGACGAGCGACGGATGCCGTCCACCGACGGGACCTAGACGGCCGGCGAGGGAGATTCTACCGGCGAGAGAAGAGGC